GGATTTTGGGTATGTTTATAAATGGGTTTTGAGTGTGTGTAATGATGAGTTTTGGGTATGTTTATAAAGTGTTTTGGGTGTTGGGTATTTTTATAATTTCAGCCCGTATTTTGGGTATTTTAGTGAAACTCCCTTTTTATTACTCATATTTTGACCTAATTATTTAGTATACAATTAAAAGTAAAAACTTAAACCATTTATAGAAAAAAGTAAAAAACCAAATTCCCAGATCTGTCATGGCCTCCATTCCCCCAAATATGCCATGTCCCATGTGAGTAACGGGCAATAATTTGAACGAAAAGATGGACGAAATAAGGCTATAGTTCCAAATCATTTCTTTTTTATTACTCATATTTTGACCTAATTATTTAGTATACAATTAAAAGTAAAAACTTAAACCATTTATAGAAAAAAGTAAAATAAACTAAATAAACCCTTGCCAATCCCCAGATCTGTCATGGCCTCCATTCCCCCAAATATGCCATGACCATTGAGATCCAAACCCACATATATGAAGTGTGAAATTTTTTGGATTTGTTTTCTTTCTCAGTGAATGTCATTTTCCCCAGTCTTAAAATGCCATTGGCTATAGTTCTTTGATCTTTGGTTTCTTCTCCTCTACTGTTGCCGTAATATTTCTAGGGTTTTTAAGCGTGAAACTTGGTCCTTTACATATAGATTAGATGTCGTTTTCTATACTCACCACTGCTTCGAATGCAACAAACTTTCGCTACAAGAAATACAACTCTTTTGAGTCCTTTCAATAGCTTACTGGTACTAGTTGTTTTAAGGAGGGCCTATAAATATCTCAACTTTTTTTGTTTACAACATTGATAAAATCTAAACTGGTTATATAGATGCAAACAAACGATAAGTATATATGTTAAGTGTGAATTTTTTTGGATATGTTTATTTTTTCCTTTTTTTTTGGTGAAAACCAAGGTATCCCCCGCGCGATTGCGGGGACTAACCCTCGAGGTACTGTCGGGCGCAAAGCGGGGACCTCTCCCAACAAAGTCTGCTCTATTCGCAAGAGCCTGGGATCGAACCCAGGACCTCTTGTTTAAAGGATCCAAGCCCCTTCCACTTGGACCAACTCCTGTTGGTGTTTATTTTTTCCTTTGATTAGACAGAAACCATGACATATTTGTTGAAGAACAGAGGCCATGGCAGATCTCAGGATGAAGGGAGGGAACATCAGATTTATTTTTTTAAAATTTTACAAATGTTTTTTTATTTATTAAATAATTAAGAAAAGATGACGTGGTAATGCTATGTCATCTGCCACGTAAGTTGGTATCACTAAATTAAGTTGGAAAATAAGTTGGTACCTGTAGCGTTATTGTTTTATTTTAATGTTTCTCCAAAATACTTAAGGACACATGGTGGGCTACAAAGGGAGAGTGTCCATAGAGAGTCGCTTTAAGTGACTAGATTTTCAAACCATCTACTTTGATTTGTCATTTGTTTTTTTCTTCTTTTCAAAAGTTTGCTTTGAAGCTTCTAATTCCAACGTTCATAATGAAATATTTGAATCACTGTGCATGATGTTCAGGAGGAAAGTATGCCATACGATTCCAACGTTCATAGCTTCTCCTTTTCCCCTTTGCGGTGTATCTACAGAGTTCCTAAGCGACTACGGCATACAAAGGGAGAGTGTCCATAGAGAGTCGCTTTAAGTGACTAGATTTTCTAACCATCTACTTTGATTTGTCATTTGTTTTTTTTTTCTTTTCAAAAGTTTGCTTTGAAGCTTCTAATTCCAACGTTCATAATGAAATATTTGAATCACTGTGCATGATGTTCAGGAGGAAAGTATGCCATACGATTCCAACGTTCATAGCTTCTCCTTTTCCCCTTTGCGGTGTATCTACAGAGTTCCTAAGCGACTACGGCAGGGAAACGATGATGAAGCCTACACACCTCAGGTAGTCTCTATAGGCCCACTTCACCATGGAAAGGAACACTTAAATGGTATGGAATATCACAAAGAGAGGTATCTAAAAGGTTTTCTAAGTAGAACCACGAAAACATTGGGGGTTTTTAAGAAGAAACTACAGGACCAAGAAGTAAATCTGAGAAGTTGTTATGCAGAACCGATTGGGTATAGCAGTGAAGAATTTCTAAGAATCATTCTAGTGGATGCCGCCTTCATTATTGAGTTTTTGTTGAGGGGCAATTACCCAGAATTTCGAGATGAGGGTGACCACATATTTTCTAGGCCATGGATGTACGGTGATGTATTGGTTGACTTGCAGGTGCTTGAAAATCAGTTGCCACTCTTCATTCTGGAGGACCTTTTTGTCGCAGATAAATGTTTTGATTCTACTAATAAGCCCTCAATAATTCGTCTTTCTCACGCTGTGTTCAATACTACTTTCTTTTGGAAAGAAAGAAAATACGTCCTTTTTGAGGGAGATTTTTTTTCTGAAGTAAAACATTTTGTTGATTTGATAAGAACTTTATGTGTACCATCGAAATTAAATCCTGATGAAGGCGTCACAGAGCTATACATGGCAGGGTTCAAAAGTATAAGCACACCCAGCATCACAGAGCTACACAGGGCAGGGGTCAAAAGTATAAGCACACCCAGCATCACAGAGCTACACAGGGCAGGGGTCAAGTTGAAGGCGGGATCAACGAATAACTTATTTGATATTCAACTTGCTGACGGGAGACTTGAAATTCCAAGATTGCAAATAAACGATCATACAGAGGTATTAATTAGAAATCTCGTCGCATTTGAACAATGCCACTACCTGAAGGAGAGGTACATAAGTGATTTTGTTTTTCTCATGGATTATTTTGTGAACACCCCAAAGGATGTGGAGTTGCTTGTTAAGCATGGCATTGTTGAAAATTGGCTAGGTGACAACAGTGAGGTGTCTACTTTGATTAATAAGCTTGGAAAAGGGGTTGGGATAAATGACAAAGACTTTTATTTTGCTGCTGTTGCTGATGACCTGGACATCCACTGCAGAACTCGCTGGAACAAATGGATGGCAAATTTGAGACAGAATTATCTCAACACACCTTGGACAATTATCTCTTTCGTTGCAGCTTTTTTTCTCCTCATACTCACTTTCATCCAAACAGTGTGCACCATTATATCTTAAGCATCAGCAACAGCAAGTGGATCTCTTTCTGTATTCTCCCTGTCCTTTTTCCATCACCAACATAGTGAAGAAACAAAAAACAAGAGAAAGTTTGTGTTGTATGTTGTGATATGTACCAAGTATTGTATTGTGATTCGATCAATAAAAAGATAGTATTGTGAAGTGATGAAGCAAAGAAATAACTTTCATACTAACTAGTTATTTATTATGACAACAAATGGATATTAATATTGCCGAAGAAAAGATATGACATTAAAATTTAGCCCATTATTTCGTAAATGTCAGTTTCAATAAAAACTTTCATAATTAGCGAAAGGCTTTTTTGTTTAAGGATTCATCAAATTCTTTTTTGTTTCAACTGTTCATATTTAATAAGTTAAAGTATGTAACAATTGTACATTTTCTTGCCCTAAAATATTGCATATCTAAATTGTTTCTCAGATATTTCTCTCATTAATCTCAGGAAATGAAATTAGAAACTCTTTTACACAAATATAGAAGGGTTGAGAAAGTGAGATGAGTCTAGCACATTGCCTATACTGTACGTAGTGTTAATATGGACGAACTTTCTCGTGTACATACCTACCTAGAAAACAGGGGAAAATGGCATCAAACCTGCCTGCAAACTTGTGGTTTTCTGTCTTTGGAATGTGGAACTGGATCCAAAATCAAAATAATTAGGAATTGAATGGCTCGGATTAAAAAAATAACAGGGGAAAAGAGCTTGCATTGGCCTCAGTCCCCCCATATGTATCTCTACTCTGTCCAAATCGTCCCTTTCTTGAGCTTATAAGCCTCCACAACTTTTGTTTTGGTTGGTCTGCCTCCCACTACTTCTTGAATACAACAGGAACAAATCCATTAATTCATAGTTAATTTATTCCAACGAAATGCACTGTAGCCTTTCCGAGTGATACTACTTTAATTAATTGACACGAAAAGGATCCAATTTTTTTTTCCTTCGAATCCAATACATATTCAAGCTAAATTTGATGTATTCACACTCCACCCCTTTTTTATATAAGCGATATTCTACTTTAATCTAATCTAAACTACGGTGAGGAGGATTCGAACTCGGGTGCAGAATGAGGAGCACATTCACTCTAGCCAACTTATTATTTTTGTGGCTATTGTTAGCCATCATGCTCCACCTCCATAGTCTAGTAACATGCATGTTCTTGAGTTTTCTAGAATTGTGTAGTTACATCTACACAAATATGCATTACTTTTTCAACATGACTAAAGGGTGTGCACAAGTATTATTGATAACAATTAATACAATTTGCAAAACAAAAGTATTAAATTTTGTTCTTTTTTTGGGGTCAAAACGTATTAAATTTCTTCTTGTTTGGGACTGCTTCTCTATGAAGCACTTCTGCTTATAAATGCTTCTAGCAAGCGCTTTTATTATAAAAATGTTGAAAAAGCACTTTAGAGTGCTTTCTGAAAAAGCACATAACAAGTGCTTCTCACTTCTATGATCCATAAGCGCTTTTAAATTTTTCCGCAAAACGCTGTTAGAAACAGTTTTAATTGTCAAAAACACGCTTTTAGCTATTCTAGAAGCACTCCCAAACATACTTCTCCTTTTTATACCCTTTATCCCAAAGGTATAAAAGGATTGAGCTACAAACCCACTATAAAACATGCCAAGCCTTAGAAAGGTAAAGCCAGGGTAAGCATAACATGAACAGTGAAAAGAGTCACAATTTTCAATTGTTATTTGTTTTGTTAATTTCACTTCACATGGACAGACTTCGGCAACTATTAACCAAATGGCGTATTGTTGTTTGGGGTTAAGATTTCAAAAAGTCAAATGACGTACAAATAAAGAAACAACACAAATTAAAATCGTCATTAAATTTGATACTTATTGTCCGAAGTTCTTACATGAATTATATACTATGGACATAATCGGAAACACAAAATAAATTAAAAAAACAAAAAACATTATAATAGTGTTAGACAATCGAAAAAAAGAATGTAATCTTATATGTCCCAAAAATCAAAAGGACTTAGATCAAAGTCACCAAATTCAAGGATTAAACCCAACTCCTCATTGGGAATTTGGATCTATATCAACTTTACTACCTACGCATCAATAACAGAATTGTTAATTTGTCACTTTGATGAAATGTTAGCGGAACCAGGAATTTTTCTAGAGGTAGGCAAACTTTTTTTTCTTAACTTCTTTTATAATATAATATATCATGCTTCAAATTGTCTAGAATTTTTTTTTTTTGTAAGGGGGGCAAAAGCCCGAAAACAGCTAGTTAAATTTTAAAAACCTAAAAAATTTCTTTTTCCAAAAATTATAGAAATCCAAACTGTTGGCAAGCCAAATATTCCACCAAAAATCAAAAGGACTTAGATCAAAGTCACCAAATTCAAGGATTAAACCCAACTCCTCATTGGGAATTTGGATCTATATCAACTTTACTACCTACGCATCAATAACAGAATTGTTAATTTGTCACTTTGATGAAATGTTAGCGGAACCAGGAATTTTTCTAGAGGTAGGCAAACTTTTTTTTCTTAACTTCTTTTATAATATAATATATCATGCTTCAAATTGTCTAGAATTTTTTTTTTTTGTAAGGGGGGCAAAAGCCCGAAAACAGCTAGTTAAATTTTAAAAACCTAAAAAATTTCTTTTTCCAAAAATTATAGAAATCCAAACTGTTGGCAAGCCAAATATTCCAAAAATATTTTGCAACAAAGGAGTTTGAACTGTAAGACCTCCATGTAAAATCATTCTCACTTTCCACTGCAGCAAACAACTTTCTTGTGTAAACTTGCCATAAATATAAAATATAATTAGAATATTATAAATAAAAAAAATGTAAAGAGCATGCACTTGCATCTGAATATGCACCGAAACCACGCCTTTTTTTTTTTTCTTTCTTTTCTAATTTTTATTCCTTTTCTTCTTCCCATATCTCATCTCTCCCAACGCCTTTATTTTTTATTTTTTTCCCATCTTCTTCTTCCTTCCGTCACTTTCCATCTCTCCCTCTCTCTTTTATTTATTTTTTTCCTTCTTCTTCTCTCCCTCTCTCTTTCTTTTTTTCCTCCTTCTTCCTCTGTCAGTCTCTGCAATTTTTTTTATCTTCTCCCTCTTTTGCGTCATCTTCCATATCTCTCTCTTTTTTCTATTTTTTTTTTCCATCGCTCTCTCTTCTCTTCCTTCTTCTCCTTCTTCCCGCTCTCCCTCGAAGACTAGTTGTTGTCTGGCCTTGTCCTCTTCGTGGGCTGAGAAAAAGAAAAGGTGTTGTGTGTGTTAAACGGTGGACTAATATTTAATTATAGGGTACTTTTTTTTTATACATTTAAGACTAAGTTGGAAAATCAGCCCTGGGCTAGAGCCCAGCCGAGCCCCTTCATAGTTCCGCCCTATAATATAAGTTGTTAGGATGTTAGAAATTTAATTAGAAAAAAGAAACAAGAAGATCGATTACAATATCAAACCTAAATGTTTGATGTTTGGTCGGAGCATCTTGGAATGTACGTAGTTAATGCAATATTTGTTGATTGTGGTGCCAGGATTATCATATCATTATTAGAGGAAAATGGAATTAATCAATCATGATCCATTAGTTATACCGAGCAGGGGTCAAGTTTAAGAAGGGGTCAAGCACAAACATATTCGACAAGACTTTTATTTGGCTGAAAATATTGTTATAATTGTGTATAATACTAAACTGTTTCTCAGATATTACTCTCATAAATTTCAGTACATGATATTGGAAATTTTTTTAAAGATAAATTTAGGGTTGAGGAAAACAGGGGAAAAACAGGGGACAGACAAGGGAAAAGAGCTTGCATTGGCCTCAGTCCCCCACATACGTCCCTCTACTCTGTCTATATCGTCCCTTTCTTGAGCTTATAAGCCTCCACAACTTTTGTTTTGGTTGGTCTGCCTCCCACTACTAAGAATACAACAGGAACAAATCCATTAATTCATAGTTAATTTATTCCAACGAAATGCACGAGAACCACTGTAGCCTTTCCGAGTGATACTAGTTTAATTAATTAACACGAAAAGGATCCAACTTTTTTTCCTTCGAATCCAATACATATTAAAGCTAAATTTGATGTATTCACACACTCCACCCTTTTAATATACAAACGATATTCTACCTTAATTTAATCTAAATTATAGGGAAGGGGATTCGAACTCGGGTGCAAAATGGGGAGCACATCCACTCTAGCCAACTTAGTTAAACCCATGTCTGCACACAGTCCACCCCTTGGAACATCTCCATTAACCCCTAAAATGTTTATAAAAAAAAAACAGTTAATATAAGAGTGAAATCAATGAAGTCATTAGGCCAAGCTTGATGGTAAAGAACCGATCAAGACTAGCATTTCTTTTGCATGTTCTGAAAGAAAAAGAAAAACACCGCTTTTCTGCTTTTATTATTCGAACCAACCAATTATACCCCGGCATGCTTTGAAGCTGGTTTAAGAATATGGCCTACTAACTTTCTCGCCATTATATATATTGGGTGGCTTCTCCTTGTACCCTTTGCGGTGTATCTACAGAGTTCCTAAGCGACTACGGCAGGGAAACGATGAAGAAGCCTACACACCTCAGGTAGTCTCTATAGGCCCACTACACCATGGAAAGGAACACTTAAATGTTATGGAATATCACAAAAAGAGGTATCTACGAGATTTTCTACGTAGAAACCAGTTAAACTTGGAGTTTTATAAAAGGAAAATAAAGGGCCAAGAAGTAAAATTGAGAAGTTGTTATGCAGAACCGATTGGGTGTAGCAGTGAAGAATTTCTAAGAATCATTCTAGTGGATGCCGCCTTCATTATTGAGTTTTTGTTGAGGTACAATTACCCAAAATTTCGAGATGAGGATGACTACATATTTCATAAGCCATGGATGCACATTGATGTATTGGCTGACTTGCGGATGCTTGAAAATCAGTTGCCACTTTTCATTCTGGAGGATCTTTTTGACCCAGAGAAATATTTTGATTATGCTCATAAGCCTTCAATAATTAGTCTTTCTTACTCTGTGTTCGATACTCCTTTCTTTTGGAAAGGATCAAAAGACGACGTTTTGGAGGGAAAACGTTTTTGTCATTTTGTTGATTTGATAAGAACTGCATGTCTACCACCAAAATTAAAAACTGATGTAAGGGAAGTCAAAAGTATAAGAACACCCAGCATCACAGAGCTACACAGGGCAGGGGTCAAGTTGAAGGCGGGATCAACGAATAACTTATTTGATATTCGATTTGCTGACGGGACTCTTGAAATTGGTTTTTCATATTTTAATCAATTTAAAATTTTAAAAAAAAATGTGGGACCCATAGTGTCACGTAGGCAACTAACGGAGAAATCTGACAGAAACCTAACGGTGGAATCACATTGTAACAAATTTAAAAGATCGAGATATGTGATTGTTAAAATTAAAAAGATAGTTAAGTATGGCATTGTTGAAAATTGGCTAGGTGACAACAGTGAGGTGTCTACTTTGATTAATAAGCTTGGAAAAGGGGTTTGGATAAATGACAATGACTTTTATTTTGCTACTGTTGCTGAAGACCTGAACTCCCACTGCGGAACTCACTGGAACAAATGGAAGGCAAATTTGAGACAGAATTATCTCAACACACCTTGGGCAATTATCTCTTTCGTTGGAGCTGTTTTTCTCCTCATACTCACTTTCATCCAAACAGTGTGCACCATTATATCTTAAGCATCAGCAACAGCAAGTGGATCTCTTTCTGTATTCTCCCTGTCCTTTTTCCATCACCAACGTAGTGAAGAAACAAAAAACAAGAGAAAACGATGAAGAAGCCTACACACCTCAGGTAGTCTCTACAGGCCCACTACACCATGGAAAGGAACACTTAAATGTTATGGAATATCACAAAAAGAGGTATTGTTTCCCTCTTTTCGGCCGGGTAGGCCGATGGAAGGAGTTTTTGGTCCTTCTTCTCTTGAGATGCGTAGGCGTGCCACCAAGTATTATATTGTATTGTGACTCAATCAATAAAAAAATATATTTCCATCTACCAGAGGAACCAACTTTGTCGTTTGAACATAGCAGGTGCAAATTTAACTCACTTCCTTTTTTGTTCTTGTTTTTTCCACTTCATAATCATTTGTAGCACATTTCCATTTTCTTGAAGCTTTTAGTTTTTCATTAAATTTATGTTTTTTATTTCAAGTGGTTGAGATTAAAATTGGGGAGTGCTTTTCAACTCTTTGTCAAAATGTCGATTTCCCGTACTAAAAGAAAATGGTTTATAACTCAAGTGGTTAAGATGATTTATTAGAGACTAAAAAGAATGTGCAAAAGTTATGTTAGAAAAATTAGTATAAAAATAAGCCTAAATGTATTAAGGCAAAAATGCAAGTGGAAAATTAAATGCACAGGAATTAAATGTCCAACACTTGATAGAATATAGAATACAATATTAATGTCTTTTTAGAAGTTTTTATTTTTATACAAGTAATATTAGGAAAGAGGGAATTCAAACACATAATCTCAAGTGCATGGGTAACTTCTCTTAACATTAATATAGAGCTACAAGTTTTTTGCTATGTCTTTATTAACATTAATAAGAAACCTTGACTATTATTTTGTTTTCCCTACGACATTCTGACGTCATGTAACACCATCACCATTGCATAGCTCATATTGCAGGCTCGGTAGATAGAAGCTTTTATCAAATTAAAGACCATCGGCCCTTCTAAATTATTGGGGCCTGCAAATGGAGTGAATTATTAGAATACTTATATGGACCATCTTACGTTAGGTCTGAACAATATAAATTTTTAGCAGGGTCGGTGAATTTTTAGCATAAGGTCGAGATGGTTGAGTAAAAGAAATTTGATGTGTTCACTTAGAACTTTATTAGGTCTGAACAAAACCCCGCAAATATTCAATGAATCACACTTTAATCATTTCCATGTAAGAAAAATAGGAGTAAAACAGAGGAAACCATGGGAAAAGAGCTTGCATTGCATGCCTGAGGTTTTCTTTCTTTGGAATGTGCAACTGGATCTAAAGAACCAAAAAGAAAAAGAAAAAAAACAAGTATGTGTCGCTGTTTGTCTTATTCATGTTGTTAAAGTCAATCACGTCTATTATGCTTTTGCCTATTTCATCCCCTGTAATTTGGATGATTAGTCAACTAAGTCTCCTATTTTATATGCGGTAATTTAGAGCTATGTTTCAGCTATGTAATTAGTCAACTTTAGGATTGTATATATACATGGGTTCTCACCCAAGTAAATACATTGAATCATTATAATCAGAAAATCCCGTCTCTCTCAACTTTAGGTCTGTGTCGCTGTTTGTCTTATTCATGTCAACCCCTCCATGTACTGGTCTGCCCCATTTGTGTTTATGGCGAGGAAGAGGGTAGATAGAAGATATTAATTCAATCATTGAGCTTCTTCCTATATATAGCCCATCATTGAGCTTTTCATTTCCACCACAAAAAGAAGAAGAAGAAAAAATCATTGAACCGACTAGCTCTTTTTTGCTTAGCAGGTGCGAATTCCCTTCCTTCTTTTGTTCTTTAATTTTTGTCTTTTCAATTGATAGCATTTTCTTCAAGATTTTAGTTTCTTATGTTTCAATGGTAGTTGGGGATCCTGAGCCTCTGCATTGAGACACTACGCATTTATCCGCATTTCGCTAAATCTAGGCCATTATAATAATCTAACCCTTTAGAACATGACACATCATCAAGTTTTTTTCCTTCTCTAAACAAATGTTAACTATTGTTGTTAAACAAGATTTTAGTTACCCACAAATAATAATCTAACCCATTATACTTTACACAGAACAAAGAAGAAAAAAAAAAAGAAACATGCTCTAAACAAGAGTTTAGTTACCCACAAATAAAACTTAACTCTTTTGTTTAGTGAAGGAAAAAAAAAACTTGATGATGTGTCACATTCTAAGGGGTTCGATTATTATAATGGTCTAGATTTAGCGAAATACGAGTAAATGGATAGTCTCTAAATACAGAGGCTCATGATCCGATAGTTGGACATTTGAATTGATCAATGTTGTAACTTTATTCTTTTTTTGTTGTTGATATTCCTTTCTTTAAATGGAAGCATGAGATCTAAAATGGAGGATATAACAGTTTAATTCTTGAGATAAACCTCATGAAAAATGGAGTAAAATGTTTGTCTGTTTTACCTTAGGTCTAAAAATAACATGCATATCATCATCATATACATACATGGTCAGACTTCCTTTTCTTTTTTAAAAAAAGAAAAAAATATATAAACTCAAAATTATTAAGGTTTCTTAGGAATAACCCACGTGATTTTAATTTTTGATGTAAGCCAATTATTTTTCGATGTAGTCCATTGACTATTTTTACATGTCAGCAAACTTACCATAGTGAGTTGATGACTCAGTTCATATGAACCGTGCACATGTCTTCTTGTGTTCAAATATACGCGAGTGTTCCCATAGGTATGGTATAAGTATGTTGTGCGTATATGAATGTTCCCATGGTAGGTTTGGATACCTATTTAAGGTTCAAATATACACGAGTGTTCCCATGGTGTAAGTATATTGTTCATGTAATTTTTTCATCCTATATAGTAGGTAGACCATATGTATTGAGTTTAACCTATGTTGTAGTTTTATTATTTTGTTTCTCAAACATATAAGTATTTTTTTATTCTTATTAAAATAAACATATAGGTATATATGTTGTTTCTGTAATTTGTTTCATCCTATATATAGGCAGATCATATGTAATGAGCTTATTAGAATGTTTTATACTTATGTGTTCTAGGTTTATTATTTTGTTTTTTAAACATATAGCTATTTTATTCCTAAAAATATAGGTATTTTATTCTTAAAAATATAGGTATTCTATATTATTTGTGTATGCCTTAATCTGAATTTTATTATTTTCATAAATATTACTTAGTTGTGAATACATTTATGGTTGTTCAAACTTAATTCAATTTTTTTGACCCCAAAAAAAAACTTAATTCAATTTTGAATTAGTAGTAAAACATGCATTAAATCAGAATTTTTAGTTTATTGCCCTATTTATTTTAAAGGGTAAAATGGGTAATAAAAATGAGAGATAAAAGTTAGTGGTAGAGATAAAAAATTGCAAAAACCAGAGTTAAACCTAATAAAAGCCAAACTTTTTGAGATTGGATCTAAGGACCCCTTCAAAAAACAACTATCATAACGCAAACTAACTTTGAAATTTTGTTTGACTTGATACGTTTTGATTGGAAGAATATGACTTTTTGTTCTTTACCACTTCATCTACAAGTCACTTGCAATGAGATCTTATTGACATGAAAATCTTGTCGATTTCGAGAGAGAGAGAGAGATTGACCTATTTATAGGAGGATAGGAATGTGTAATTGCTATTTGCAATGTGTGGATCTTCTCAACCTATCTATTGTACGATTTCGCATTTGTGATGCATGTTTTCTAAATTTTTGAAGGAACCATCTTGAAATGTCTGTAATGATTGAAACATTTGTTTATTATGGTGCCAATAATACCCTCATCACTTACAATCAGAACAACACATAATGGAAGTGGAAGGACGCAGCAATGAAGCTCCACATGACGTAGAAAACCCCAACACCCCAGTAGCAGATTTGAAGCGGCGGTTGGATAGTTTGTCTCGCCGGTCCTCTGATGAGTGCTGTATCTACAGGGTTCCTTTGCGACTACGGGGCAAAAATAACTCTTACACCCCGGAAGTAGTCTCAATAGGCCCAATTCACCATGACAACAAAGAATTAGAAGCCATGGAAGAATACAAACAGAGGTACCTACAATATTTTCTTCATCGGAATAATAAGGTTAGCTTGGAGTATTATGTAGAGAAAATAAAGGCCCAAGAAGATAAACTCCGTGGTTGTTATGGAAACGCTCAGCACGTCAAGAATAGCGACAAGTTTGTAAGTATCATTCTAGTTGATGCCGCCTTTGTCATTGAGCTATTGTTGAGGTACTATTTCGTAGAATTGCGAGATGATGATGACTGGATATTTAAAAAACCATGGATGTTAACAAATATAGTGCCCGACATGCTTTTGCTCGAAAATCAGCTGCCATTTTTCATTCTTGAGGTTCTTTTCGACCCAAGCAAAGTCAGAGTTGAGAGTGCTGCGAGGCCTTCAATAATTAAGCTCTCTTACCATTTCTTCGAAAAGGTAGTGGGTTTACAGATGTCGGAAGGCGCGTCGAATTTTTCTTCTAGTTCTGAAAGACCTTTACATTTTGTTGATTTTATTAGAACTTTACATCTGGAAAATTTGGATACCTCAAGAGCTGGAAGACTCCAAAGTATACCCAGCGTGACAAAACTACACCAGGCCGGAGTTAAGTTTCGTGTGGAATCAAGCAACCACTTATTCGCGATACGGTTCCATAATGGAACTCTGAAAATTCCAAAACTAAAAATACATGATGACACAGAGGTTATACTCAGAAATCTCATTGCCTTTGAACAATGCCATTGCACGGGCAATTACTTAAGCGATTATGTTTTCCTCCTGGATAAATTTGTAGACACCAAAAGGGATGTAGACTTGCTTGTTGAGAGTGAAATTGTTGTAAACACACTAGGTGACAACAATAAGGTTTCTACTATGATTAACCAACTTTGCAAAGGGGTTGCTCTGGACCAGGGAAACTTCCATTTTGGTGGTCTTGCTGACGATCTAAACAAGTACTGCAAG